GAGAGGAGTAGCTCCGATTCGTGTGACTCATTCGATTCCAAGACAGGTCTACCTTTGGCATCCACTGGCCAAGCTTCTCTTCACGTTCCTGCACGCTCCATTCGAAGGGCAAGATCACCCATGAAGCTTCGGGCAGCTCTGACACACCATCTTGGAGAATCTCATCCATCTGAAACCTCAATCCAATCTCGTAGAAGACTCGCAGGGTGTCCATCCACCAGTTCCGCGTCTCTTTCTCTCTCCTTTTGACAAACTGCAAAATGTCTTTCAACATGTCCTGCTCGCTCATCTTCAGTCCCTTCTCACATTTTGGTGCCTGCCCCTTTTTGCCACACTTCTGCTGAAAGTACCATGACACAACCTGCTCCTCTTTGCGTCGCACCCCTGAGACAAACAAACACCGCCTCGAGGCTGTGCAGTTCAGGCGCTGAAGCTCCGGGCAGTCTGACATGTGGCATCTCTGCACAGTCCTGCACCATTCTTGGGGTACTATCTTAAAAAACCGGGTTTAAGTATTCATAAAAATAAATGAATAAAAAACTGGGTTGAAGTATTGATAAAAATTAGAAAAAAAAAGATGTTCAACAATGACCCAGAGTCGCATTCGGAGCCACATGTTCAACTAGCCACTTCCTCATCTGCACCACCATCGTCGAGGAGCCGGTCTTCGGAAAGCTCACCACGAACACGCGGGCGGGAGGCGTCGCGCGCGGGAGGCTTCCTGCACTCGGCCCCTCTTGGAGGTTCATGGGACTTAATAACCACTTATAACTGGGCTTATAACCCTACTTATCATTGGGATAACCCCTATAAGGCCCTTTAGGGGGTATTTATAAGTAGGGTTACAAGTACAGTTATAATTTGTTCTTAAGTCCCATGAACCTCCAAGCTGGGAGCTGGAGGCGGAGACCACACGAGTCTCGAGTTGCGTCTGGCAGCCCGCCAGACCAAGCTGCCAGGAAGAATTCCGGTTGCCCAGCAACCTAGGATTAAACTGGCCGCCCTTTCTGGCTTTAAGGGGGTCGGAAGGGAACCTAAACTCCCCTCCCCCCCCCCCAAAAAAAAAAGAATAAGTTCACGACTGGGCATCCTAGAAGCAGGTGGAAGGACAAGAAAGTGCCTGCCAAGGCCACCGCCGGAGCCAGCGCTTCCGACGCCCAGGTCATGTCGCATCGGGAGGTGCTTTCGGGGCTCCAGGGTTTAGGGTTCGGGGTTTAGGGTTTAGGGTTTAGGGTTTAGGGTTTAGGGTTTAGGGTTGAGGGTTTAGGGTTTAGGGTTTCGGGTTTCGGGTTTAGGGTTTAGGGTTTAGGGGAGCTCCCATGTCTCCATCGGCTCGCGGGTAGTACGTTCCTACGTCGCTATGGATAGGGGCTGGTTCGTGAAGCTCGGGATAATACAAGGGAGATCCAGGCTTGCCAGGAATTAATTCCGAAGGCAAAGGCTGGAAGACCTTTAGGGTTTAGGGTTTAGGGTTTAGGGTTTAGGGCTTAGGGTTTAGGGTTTAGGGTTTGGGGTTTCAGGCCCTTAAACCCAAAAAGTTCTGTACATTTAAAGGGCTTACTGTTTTGAGTGGGCCTTGGGGGTTTGCTCTTCCTTGAAAGCTGGGCGCTAAAAGGCTGTTGGGATTCATGTTTATGGCTCAGTAATTCTGTGATCGCCGGGTTGGTCGATTAAGTCAGCCTTTGATTGGCCTCGGGGTTGTCGGCACGGGGGGTCGTGAACATACAGGTACGTCTGCGGGCCACGCATGCACGCGTTGGATGTACGTGTATATACAACCACGCACGAATTCAAACATACATATACCCACCGATGTCTATGCCATCAAATGTGTATAACGTCTGTGTGTATGTCTGCGTGTATGCATGGTATGTGCACATCTGCACAGCATGCCATGCCACACAGCAATCTACTTTATGACCAAGGAGACACATCTCATCCCGTGGCAGTCCTACACTTGCAATTCACGGTGCATCCGGATCACTGAAACTTTCAAGTCGCATAGGGCATTGGTTGAGTGTGTCTCAAGTTTGGGCTTTACCCCAACTGCAACACCAACCCTAAACGCTTTGGCACCTAGGGAATCTCAAGCTCCCCCCCCCCAAGTTCCCCCCAGCCCCTCCCCCTGCCCCAAGCGTCCTGAAGTGCTTGTCGCTCATCTGGCGCTTGTCCTCGACCCAGCTCGGAGCCTTCGACGAGCGACTAACCCAGAGAGCCCGATTCCCGTTGATGAAAGGATACACCTCAACTTATGGCATGTTGCTGGAGATTCCCAGGTCTAAGCTAGGGGGGCATAACAGAATAGACCTAGGCTCGGAACGAGGGCGTCTGGTCTAAGCCAGGTGATTTGGGCTCTCTGGCATGGCATCGGCTAAGGACAATGATGCTAAGATCCCTAAACCGTTTAAGGTATATTCTTTGGGGTACTGGGCTATCTGTATCTGGGTATATACTGGTTACTTCAGAACCCCCAAAAAAACACAGGATAATAATCCCCATATGACCCTGCAAGGAAGAATGCTCTGAGTTGTTTTTTTTTTTTTTTGGGGGGGGGGGGGGTCTGTAGCCAACTATAGCAGGCAGAATGAAAAGGTGGAAATACCTATGACCCTAAAGGGGCCGGTCCCCTGAGAGCCCAATACCCTTTTAACTCAGGAAGGGCTTAGGGTTTAGGGTTGGGGGTTTAGGGTTTGGGGTCTAGGGGTTCGGGTTGAGGGTGTAGGGGACCTTAAGTCATAACAGGGGTCCTGATTATGACTTAAGGAATATTCCTCAACAAAAGGAGCCGTGGGCTCTCTCTTGGTTCTTCCATGGGACCCCGAGCCTCACACACACACACACACACACACCCAGAATCCTTTTTGCCACAGGATTCAGGCCCAGCCAGTACTATGCGAAGCAACCGGGAGGACGGGCAGAACATACCACATACTGGGAGGTTCATGGCACTTATTAACCAACTATAACTGTACTTAGAACCCACTTATAGGCCCCTTAAGTGCCCAAATACAGTTATATGTACAGTCAGAAGTACAGTTATATTTGGTTAATAAGTACCAGGAACCTCCAAGTACCCAAAAACCTAAACGCTAAAAAAGCCTAAACCCTAAACCCTAAACCCAATAGGTACTGCGGGGATTGAGCTGAACCCCCGGATCCTGCAAGAAGGTTTGGTGAGCCCTGAGGGGTTTTAGGGTTTACGGTTTTAGAGTTTAGGGTTTAGGGTTTGGGGTTTAGGGTTTAGGGTTTAGGGCTTAGGGTTTAGGGTTTAGGGTTCCTAGGGGTTTGGGTTTTAGGGCTTCGGGTTTTTTAAGGGCTTGGGTTTAGGGTTCAGGTTGTGGTTACAGGCCCGCCTCCGCCTCTTCGTGTGCTACGACAGCTGCGAGGCGACGAGTCGTTGTCTCGGGACAGTATTAGGGTTTAGGGTTTAGGGTTTAGGGTTTAGGGTTTCAGGTTTAGGGTTTCAGGTTTAGGGTTTAGGGTTTAGGGTTTAGGGTTTAGCGTTTAGGGTTTAGGGTTTAGGGTTTAGGGTTTAGGGTTTTGGGCTTTTCGGGCTGGTCTCGTGCGGGCATGGACCTTGCACAGAGCCTGGCAGGCCCCCTCTACACCTTTCTTTCGGATCTCAGCTCTGGAGCCTGAACTTCAAGGGACTATATGCGGTGTATATAGGGGTTAGATATAAGGGTTTCCGAAAATACAGGTACCCTTTATGAGGGTTATTTGAGGGGATTCTATTCTTTTTTGGGGTGTGAAAGGGGTACCCCTGTTGTGAAAATACGTACATAGGAGAATAACATTGAGGGTCCAGTCGAGTACCCCTTCATGAACTCCGATCTTGCACCTCTGTGGGCATGATGTGAGAGATGCTCTCTTAACAGAAAAGGTTTTTGGGTTTTTGGGTTATGGGGTTCGGGAAGGCAGTTTGGGTTCTATGCGGGCCTTTTGCAGAGCGCAGTGGCCCCTGGAGCCCGCCGCATCTTCGTGGAAGCCAGCGTCGTCCGCAAGTACGGCCCTAAAAGGATCAGCACTCCAAGGGTTTAGGGTTTTGGGTTTAGGGCTTAGGATTTACGGTTTGGGGGGTGGTCCCTGACAGTATGGGCCCTGAAACAGGGACCCTGACAAAACACTTCCGTACCCTGCCAATCCCAGGGGCCCGTACTTCAGATCCCCGCAAGGGAGGCAAGGGACCATATCAAGGGACCATGTAACTTCTCTTAGCAAACACGCAGGTGCTAAATCTATAGCCCGATAACCCACCCCATAACCCCACAGAACCCTAGAACCCATAACCCATGCTTCCACAACCCCATGACCCAATAAGCCCAGACACCGATAACTTTGGCCCTCTTGGCATCTGCACTTCGGATCATCGTATAGCGGGTCTACCTGAACCCTAAATCTGCGTTTAGGGTTTAGGGCTAGGGTTTAGGGTGTAGGGTTTAGGGTTTAGGGTTCCTGAAACTAGGTTTGTGGCCATCTACCCTAAAGCCCCGAGGCCTGAGCCCTGGGACGTGAGGTCTGTCTCACCGTTGAAGTCCCTTGCCCAACCCTTACGCGATTGCAGCCCGGCAGCGGGAGTAAGAGGGCCAGCATCATGAGAGGCGCCATAGTTTCAATACGGAATGTACGGATAAGGTGGATGGGGGAAAGGTGTAAAGCAACAATGGCTTGAGGCGAAAATGTGCGGTAGTTTCGGCCTTGTGGGCGGGGAGACTACCTCTGATCGTAGGCTCTTGAGGGTTTCAGATTCTAGGCTCAGGGCTTTGGGTCATCGAAGCAAACCGAATTTGGCATCTCTCAAAGAGTCATAGGTTCCATTTTTTGGGGTACCCATTCCAGGGCGCCCCTTTGAAAAGGGCTCCCAAGACCCTAAACCCTAAACCCTAAACCCTAACCCCTAAACCCTAAACCCTAAACCCTAAACCCTAAACCCTAAACCCTAAACCCTAAACCCTAAACCTAAACCCTAAACCCTAAACCCATAGGACGGCTGCAAACTCCTGGTCGGAGTCCCCCGCGCGCCGCAGCTGCACTCCTGGGGCGACAAGAAGTGCTTTGAAGCTTTTCTTAGGAAAGCTACATGGTCCTTTAATATGGGCCCTTAACAGAGGACCCAGTTTATACCCCTTGTATGCCCTATACAAAAGAAGGGCCCATTTAAAAAATAACAATAACAATGATGATGATGATCATCATCATCATAAAAATAATAAGATGTATATATATATATATGAGAGAGGGACCTTTATGTACTATGTTGCTACCTGTTTTTCTATATGTATGGAGAACATATGGAAGAATTAAATGATTTGAATTATTTAAATTAGTTTTGAGGGCCGCGAATTTAAATAATTTAATTCGAGATTTAAATTATTTAAATTCGCGGGCCCGGAAACTAATTTAACTAATTTAAATACCGAATTAAATTATTTAAGTTCACGGGCCTCGAAACTAATTTAAATAATTTAAATCAGGATGTAAATTATTTAAATTATGTAAATTATCTAAATGGTCTGGGTTCGGAGAAATCCTCATTCTATTTGAATTATTTAAATTATGTAAATTATTAAAATTCACGGGCTCGGAAAAGAATTTAAATAATTTAAATCGGGATTTGAATTATTTAAATTAGTTTCGAGGTCCGCGAATTTAAATAATTTAATTCGGGATTTAAATTATTTAAATTAGTTTCCGGGCCAGCGAATTTAAATAATTTAAAGAATCTAAATAGATCCAGATTTTCTCCCAGCACAGACCATTTAACTAATTTAAATAATTTAAATAATTTAAATAATTTAAATCCGGATTTGAATTATTTAAATTAGTTTGGAGGCCCGCGAATTTAAATAATTTAATTCGAGATTGAAATTTTTTAAATTCGCGGGCCCGGAAACTAATTTAACTAATTTAAATACCGAATTAAATTATTTAAATTCGCGGGCCTCCAAACTAATTTAAATAATTCAAATCCTGATTTAAATTATTTAAATTATTTAAATTATTTAAATTAGTTAAATGGTCTGTGCTGGGAGAAAATCTGGATCTATTTAGATTCTTTAAATTATTTAAATTCGCGGGCCCGGAAACTAATTTAAATAATTTAAATCCCGAATTAAATTATTTAAATTAGTTTCCGGGCCCGCGAATTTAAATAATTTAATTCGGGATTTACATTATTTAAATTAGTTTCCGGGCTCACGAATTTAAATAATTTAAAAAATCTAAATAGATCCAGATTTTCTCCCAGCACAGACCATTTAACTAATTTAAATAATTTAAATAATTTAAATCGGGATTTGAATTATTTAAATTAGTTTGGAGGCCCGCGAATTTAAATAATTTAATTCGAGATTTAAATTATTTAAATTCGCGGGCCCGGAAACTAATTTAACTAATTTAAATACCGAATTAAATTATTTAAATTCGCGGGCCTCCAAACTAATTTAAATAATTCAAATCCTGATTTAAATTATTTAAATTATTTAAATTATTTAAATTAGTTAAATGGTCTGTGCTGGGAGAAAATCTGGATCTATTTAGATTCTTTAAAGTATTTAAATTCGCGGGCCCGGAAACTAATGTAAATAATTTAAATCCGAATTAAATTATTTAAATTAGTTTCCGGGCCCGCGAATTTAAATAATTTAATTTGGGATTTAAATTATTTAAATTAGTGTCCGGGCTCACGAATTTAAATATTTAAAAAATCTAAATAGATCCAGATTTTCTCCCAGCACAGACCATTTAACTAATTTAAATAATTTAAATAATTTAAATAATTTAAATAATTTAAATCAGGATTTGAATTATTTAAATTAGTTTGGAGGCCCGCGAATTTAAATAATTTAATTCGGTATTTAAATTAGTTAAATTCGTTTCCGGGCCCGCGAATTTAAATAATTTAAATCTCGAATTAAATTATTTAAATTCGCGGGCCTCCAAACTAATTTAAATAATTCAAATCCCGATTTAAATTATTTAAATTATTTAAATTATTTAAATTAGTTAAATGGTCTGTGCTGGGAGAAAATCTGGATCTATTTAGATTCTTTAAATTATTTAAATTCGCGGGCCCGGAAACTAATTTAAATAATTTAAATCCCGAATTAAATTATTTAAATTAGTTTCCGGGCCCGCGAATTTAAATAATTTAATTCGGGATTTAAATTATTTAAATTAGTTTCCGGGCTCACGAATTTAAATAATTTAAAAAATCTAAATAGATCCAGATTTTCTCCCAGCACAGACCATTTAACTAATTTAAATAATTTAAATAATTTAAATCGGGATTTGAATTATTTAAATTAGTTTGGAGGCCCGCGAATTTAAATAATTTAATTCGAGATTTAAATTATTTAAATTCGCGGGCCCGGAAACGAATTTAACTAATTTAAATACCGAATTAAATTATTTACATTCGCGGGCCTCCAAACTAATTTAAATAATTCAAATCCTGATTTAAATTATTTAAATTATTTAAATTATTTAAATTAGTTAAATGGTCTCTGCTGGGAGAAAATCTGGATCTATTTAGATTCTTTAAATTATTTAAATTCGCGGGCCCGGAAACTAATTTAAATAATTTAAATCCCGAATTAAATTATTTAAATTAGTTTCGAGGCCCGCGAATTTAAATAATTTAATTCGAGATTTAAATTATTTAAATTCGCGGGCCCGGAAACTAATTTAACTAATTTAAATACAGAATTAAATTATTTAAATTCGCGGGCCTCCAAACTAATTTAAATAATTCAAATCCCGATTTAAATTATTTAAATTATTTATTATTTAAATTATTTAAATTATTTAAATTATTAAATGGTCTGTGCTGGGAGAAAATCTGGATCTATTTAGATTCTTTAAATTATTTAAATTCGCGGGCCCGGAAACTAATTTAAATAATTTAAATCCCGAATTAAATTATTTAAATTAGTTTTGAGGCCCGCGAATTTAAATAATTTAATTCGAGATTTAAATTATTTAAATTCGCGGGCCCGGAAACTAATTTAACTAATTTAAATACAGAATTAAATTATTTAAATTCCGGGCCTCGAAACTAATTTAAATAATTCAAATCAGGATTTAAATTATTTAAATTATTTAAATTATTTAAATTATCTAAATGGTCTGGGTTCGGAGAAAGCCTCATTCGATTTGAATTATTTACATTATTTAAATTATTTAAGTTCACGAGCTCGGAAAAAATTTAAATAATTTAAATCGCGATTTGAATTATTTAAATTAGTTTTGAGGCCCGCGAATTTAAATAATTTAATTCGGGATTTAAATTATTTAAATTAGTTTCGAGGCGCGTGAATTTAAATAAATTAAAGAATTTAAATAGGTCGAGAATTTCTCCTAGCCGAAACCATTTAAATAATTTAAAAAATTTCACAAACTCAAATAATTTAAATAATTCAAATATCTTAAATCATTTAAATCTGGATTTGAATTATTTAGACTCTTTAGGGTTAGTAGCTTAAAACCCTATAGGGACCGGAAGGTATAATGATTTGAACTCTACAGCGCGCTTTTTTACATTAATATTAAAATAAAGTCTGGCGTCAGGTATGGTCGCTTTTGATTCTCACCATCGAATGCGCGGAGCCTACAGTGAATGCAGTGTTAACTCAACTCGGAGTACTGTTTTCGGTCTCCGGGAAAGCGGGGTACTGTTTTCGGTCCCTGAACACGGTGGTACTGCTTTCGGTCCACCGTCTCCCCCTCTCTTGTTTGTGTATTGTTATCTCGCCAACTGCACACTAAACAGCACAGACGACATGGTGGTACTGTTATCGGTCCACCGTGTTTGTGCTTAAACTATTACAACAACATGAAACATATCATATTCTTTTTACATGTGCTGTAACTTCTAGGACATACATATGGCCGCATGCCAGTATTGATTGCTTGTAATAGGGCCGCGGCCCGCACACGCGACATACCCCATTACGGAGGCTATGCATCAACGGCCGGGGTTTTGCGACAGACGTGTTTGTTGTTGTCTGCAGGTTCCAAGTCTTGCTTATCCGGGTGTAAGTGTTCTTAAGTTTCAAAAAGCAAATATATATGTAACACTGAATTTTAAACCCCCGCTAAACCCTTAAAGGCCGCGTATGTGGGGTGGTTCTAAGTCTTGCTTATCGGGGGGTAGATGTTCTTAAGTTTCAGGAACAAATATGTATGTAAGACCGAATTTTAAACCCTCTTAAACCCTTAAAGGCTGCGTATGTGGGGTGGTGCTAAGTCTTGCTTATCGGGGGGGAAGTGTTCGTCAGTTTCAAGAAGCAAATATATATGTAACACCGAATTTTAAACCCGCTTAAACCCTTAAAGGCTGCGTATGTGGGGTGGTCCCAAGTCTTGCTTATCGGGGGGTAGGTGTTCGTAAGTTTCAAGAAGCAAATATATATGTAACACTGAATTTTGAACCCCTTAAACCCTTAAAGGCTGCGTACGTGGGGTGGTTTTAAGTCCTGCTTATCGAGGTGGTAAGTGTTCGTAAGTTTCAACAAGCAAATTGTAAACCCCCTTAAACCCTTCAAGGCTGCGTATGTGGGGTGGTGCTAAGTCTTGCTTATCGGGGGGGAAGTGTTCGTAAGTTTCAAGAAGCAAATATATATGTAACACCGAATTTTAAACCCCCTTAAACCCTTAAAGGCGGCGTATGTGGGGTAGTTCCAAGTCTTGCTTATCGGGGGGGAAGTGTTCCTCAGTTTCAAGAAGCAAATATATATGTAACACCGAATTTTACACCCCCTTAAACCCTTAAAGGCGGCGTATGCGGGGTGGTTCTAAGTCTTGCTTATCGAGGGGTACGTGTTCGTCAGTTTCAAGAAGCAAATGTATATGTAACGCTCAATTTTATACCCCCTGAAACCCTTAAAGGCTGCGTATGTGGGGTGGTTCTAAGTCTTGCTTATCGGGGGGTAAGTGTTCGTCAGTTTCAAGAAGCAAATATATATGTAACACCGAATTTTAAACCCCCCTTAAACCCTTAAAGGCGGCGTATGTGGAAGCAAATATATATGTAAC